ACCAGCGCTGATTTTCAGTTGGGTTTAAATTCAATTAGGGAGAATACCACCAGAATATGCTATTGCAATTTCGTACTATCACACAATATCTCTTACTCTATCCCCGCAGTAATTATCTAGAGCTAAGAACAGAAAAATCTCAGCTCATATTCTTTATATAAAGAGTTTTTCGTTCATTCATTCATTTCAAATGATCTTGTGCATGATTAAAGAAAAAAAAATTGATTTTTTAAATTCAGTAGTGATGCTAAATAATTTTTAATCTACGATGCAAAATAAGTCGATAAAATTTGATAGGTGAAATAGAACAAGAATAAACTGTGGGAATATACCATAAAATGATAATTGAGTGACAAATGATATTATTCGACACGATGCGTCACATTATTATAATTAATTTTGATACGACTGATAATTTGTATTTGATAAAGCTATCTGAAATTTTGTCAATCATAATTTGCGTCAGAATATTTGCATATATATAATAATCATAGACAGCAGCAGGTTCTCATTTAAAAAAAATCTGCTTGGCGGATAAAATATGTAAGAGTTACCTCAGTCTCACGCAGAAGACTTTTTACAATGTACTTCATATCAATGTATTTTGTACGTCATACAGTACAATAGTTTTTTGGTGGGCATATTATATTAAAGAAACAATTTCCAGGTGTTAAAGTTACAACGCATTTAGTTTATAAGCAATCGATTTTATCAATCCAACCGGACGCAAACTTTACGTTGTGAACACGCATTTTAACAGTCAATGAAAATAATCCTCGTAAACATGACTGGCCGAAAACAAAACAATGGCCGTATAACCCATAGACAATCGCGCCAAATTTCCAAACAAACGCACTACAGATACGACCACGATATTATCTAAAAAAAACAACAACACTAATAAATAATAAAGTGGAAAGTGACAAAACAATATGTAAATATCATTATTTAGCTATTGTGCAGCGTCATCGAACCAATTTGTTGTTTAGAACGCCGCCATGTTATTTTATTGGTTGTAAAAAGTAAGGGATCTATGGAGTAGCGTTGCATTTATTAGATATAAAAAAATATAAATCGGGATACTAGGAACCAATTGGAATCATGCTTTCATTCTGGCTAATTTCTAAACAAATGCTAGAATAGAAAGCTATATACTATATGATGCTATATAAGCTGTATGATGGACCTATAGCTAAATATTTACTATTATCCGTAGAAGTTAAATCCGCAGTGTACATAAATACTTGAGAATTATAAAGATAACATAATAAAATATATTTAGTACAACTTACAATGCCATCTCTACAAAACCCACAAAACAACAGAAACCATATCAATATATATTATACATTCAATATCTTTTTCAATATAAAATTCTAATTACGATGTCTTCTATTCAGAAGTAACAAATACAAATTTAATAAGAAAGTTCCAATATTATTACCCTTTAATAAAAGTCCTAAATTGAAGTAAATTTTAGCATATGTACATGAATACAAATGTCTGTAGTGTGTAAGAATTATACCTTACAAAGCAAAAAGGAATGTGGCTTTTTACAAATATAATACTAAGCAAAATATAAAAAATGTAGTAAATACGTAGACGTCTCCATGGAGTTTTAAATCTACATTTTGAAATTGGAACAGTCATAGACAATAATGATGGTATCGTTTGCCGTTTAGCATAGTACAAGACATGTTTGGCAACAGCCAGAAATGGAAATTTGTCCGATTATCACTGTGTAAAGGATCATTGTATTCTATGAACTATTAATAGGTATCGGCAGAGTAATTATAAAAAAGACCATACTCATAATTACCTCGTAGTTGTAGTATGTAATATTATGTTATCTGTGGTTGTAGCCATCTACAGGTATCAAACAGTATTTCTCATATTTATAAGGGTACAATGTAGCGCAACTCGCAGGTAGCGTAGTGAGTAATTTGTCCCATACACCCTAATTACGCAAATGAACACGTTGGTACTTGTTTTATTTAATGGTGTTGATATTTGTTTTAAAGCTTAGGTTTCGAGCTTTCAAATGACATATTATTTTTATTTAAATGTTGTATACTTTTATTTAAAACATTGTTTGAATATAGAGGTAGCGCTTGTGTTGATTTGGTTGCTCGCGAGTGTAGATTTGAAGGCAAACTGGCTGTTCCTAAGTATCGTTTAGAAAAAGTCAATGGGTCTTTTATGGGAATGGGTATAAAAATTAATAATGTACCAAAGGATATACCAGAATTGCCCTTAAAGAAATTCAAAACATCTGTTAAATCATATTTACTGAGCAAAGCCTATTACTCACTAAACTATTACTTGAAAGACGAGCGTGCATGGCAATAGTTGTTCATGTACGGGATTTTCATTTAATGTTAGACATATACACGTATATAAATAAACATTGTTAATAAAATGGCTTTATAAAAAAAATTACTTATCCCGGTGGCTTGTACTATTGCATCGTTTTAACTTAGTATTTATTGTTTTTATGACCTAACGCTACACTCCACTTATCTAAATCTACAAAGATTAGGGTGAACTAATTACTCCATCGGTAGCAATGTACCAATTCAGGTTGACCTCCACGCTTTTCCCCCTGGAAACCATCGTGACAAATTCTTGATAACTTTGTCACGATGTGCTAACTGAACTGACCTCATGCTCATCTTATCATCCTCTACTGGTACCCCGCCAGCGTAAACCGTTGGTGCAGGCAGGTGCATCATTTCATTATCATCCATAAAAAAATCTGTAAAGATAAAAAGTCATTTGGGGAAGGGGATTGTTAGTAATATGGATTAGTAACCTCATTGCTAGCCTTGTACCATGTCAGGTTTACCACCGAGCGGTTACGCTGGAAACCATCTTATCATCCTCCACTAGTGCCCCGCTGCGTAGTATAGGTACGCGTTAGCGCAGGCGAGTGCACCATTCCATTATCATTCATTTAGCTGATAGAATGACTGTACGCATGATATAAATCAATCAATGGATAGACAATAGTACAAACAGTTGCAAGGCAAAAAGTGACAAACAAAAATATGACAATTCTATGTATGGGCTGAGTCCTTTTGCCCTTCCATGAAAAGAGAAAAACGGAACCGAAAAAAAAAATACATTCAAATTTGATAGAAAAATAAACATATAAATAAGTGCAAAGAGTTTACAACAATTCCTTTAAAAAAAACTTCTAAAGATTCTACGTGATCCTTCCACCCAAATATGAGCAGCGACTACGAACCAAACAGAGTACCTATATGCTCTTTTCCTGAAAGTTTCAATCTGGTAACAGTTCTAAAGTACTACTACTACTCTTGCAATTGATTCTACACATGTGATTGTAGGCGACAATTCGGAGGTGGAGGAGGACCATTTGATCTAGAGCAGTAAGTCCTAAAGTGGTCTATATCGACCCCCAGGGGTCTATGACAAACTGCAAGGGGTCTACGACAACGGTCATTTCGTTTTTACTTTATGTTTATAACACTAAACTTTACTACAGTTAGAAATTTACAAAAAATGAATACTAGCTAAGAATGGGGGGTCTACCCAAAAACGAAAAATTTGGGAGGGGTCTACGACACAAAAAAGTTTGGGAACCTCTGATCTAGATGATAAGGATGGTATTTCAATATCTGACGGGTTAGTACGAGAGGCCTTACATGTAGTCACAGAATTTTATGACTCTCTATCACTATCACTCACTAATAGCTATGTCTAGCTAAAGCTTGTGTTACTTGGGTACTAGATAATTAAAGAGCATGATGGAAGATCGCGGAAAGTGGCAAGAGTTCCACTGACAAGAGCGTAGCTCTTAAATTATGACTGAATACATAGATATTTTTTTTCGTACATACATATATATAGTGTATTTTATTATAATGATATATTAGAATGTTATTTAATTTGTTGAGTTTTAAACGGTTATTTTATATTTCAACATTATATTATTAGTTGCACTAGTGTTACCCACTACTACTAGCTATGTCACACTGTTAGGTTGACTGGTAGAGATCTCTTTTAGAGATATGGACATATCTCTGAAAGATACTCCTTTGCTCACTTTGTATATATTTAAGTTTACTACTGTATTTAAATGTGCAATAAAGAATATATAAACAATCTCCCAGTTTTTGTCTATTTCTAATTTGTAAGCCTCATCCCTCTGTGTGATATCACATACTATGCAAGTTTTTTTAAATACCTAATATATAATTGTCTTTAATTTTTTCGTTACTAAATCAATTTTTTTATTATCTATATACCTACATATAAAGATAAACATTATATATTATATATATAATTTTATTGTGTGCGTGCTGAAAGTACAAATTAATGATTTATCTAACTACTTCGTGTTTTGATACTTAGGTATATTAGATTAGGTACGAAATTTAGGAGCATTTTTATCCCTTGTCACATAATGTCACAATTTGTTGACCTTAACGTGTGACGTTATTTATGAATAGCTTCTAATGTAATTCAGGAACTGGTATCAATTTGAACAATTCCTCAAAACACACTCCGTGGTGTATTACATAGAAAAAAACACAGAGATATAATGTATCTCCGCAATCCCAATGGGTTAACCTGCCTCTTAGACTTTACGTTGCCATTACCAGCTTTGAATTACTTTCTCTATACTACGTAGGTGGCAAACAAGCATACGAGCCCATCTGATGGTAAACGGTTACATTAGCCTTTAAACGCCTTAAACACCAAGGGTGTTATTTGCGGAATGTCATGCTGTAGTCTCACGAGAACACCACGGCAGGTATTTCATTCTACAATTTGAGTGTACGCGGGAGAGAGCTCCCTTGAAATCACACTGTCTGTGATCATTAGATTCATTTCTAAATCATTAAAATCTAAATGAAAGATACATGTAACGCCATCTATCGTCGAATAGCGAAACTAAAGTCTATTTATATAGTGTAACCTTGTCTATGCTATTTGGCATTTGGCAGTGAATGAAGTTCAATTTGACAGTTCTAATGTAACCAGTGGTCATCGTATTTTTTTACCTCCTTGCATTTTGATACCAAAATATTAGTTATTCGCAAAGTGGTATTACGTGAACAAGATGAAAATAAGAGCCCACGCACTTCGAGAAAGGTGGAATGCGCACCGCTAGCATCGGTGAGACAATTTAAAAACGTCTACTAACTAACAGTAATGTCCTTATTTATAACTGATTAAAAAAAACTGTAGTCAATTGCTTGTTAACCTTTTAACTGAAAGTGGTAGACGCGTAATTTGACGCTGTGTCGTGTTTAATTTTATTACGATTCCGTTCGTCGCCGCATAGCACACATTAACCGTACTCAAGATTTGTATTCGGCCGATCGAAATTGTTAAAAAAAATTGTAATCATTACTTATCATAAATTGTTTTGTTATCTATATTAGAACAAAATTCACATTTAAACCTTTGATTGGGCATAAACTGTGTATTATTATCGTTAATTTTACTAATGCATAGTTATCGGTTTATATTACTTACAAAAAAAATATTCTAATCAGATGTTTGAATTGATTATGTGGTGTACCATTGTGTAATTGAGTGATACCGCGCTTTCGGAGGGTTGATATTTGTATCATATGGTGCTATTTATAAGGTATGTTTTACTACATAAATCTTGTATTCTAATTTTAAATATTTATTCTAAATGTGTATTAACTTTATTTATTTTTAAAATTTCTCACCAGTAATAATATGTAACCTGCCAGCAGTGAGTCTATGGACTAAAATAAGATTTGTCAAAATAAATTATTATTTATTTGATAAATAATTACTTATAATTAATACTATTTTTAAACATTTTACAGTTACATTAATACAAGTAAACCAGCCAGAAATAAATTGTTTCTTTTTTAACTGCCATACAGTGAAGGAATTTAAATTGGCAGTGGCCACATAATAGGCTTTATTAATGACACTGGCACATTGGGCCTTGGTAATCTTTAACTATAGATAAAAAACTGCTACATATCTTATGTTACCTCTATCTAATAAAATGAACCTGTTACTACCTATGCTTGCTACTGGTTTGTGAAACTAGATATCCATGAGATTATATAGATAAAACTGATTTCCATATAAATGAAATGTAGAGCAGCAACTATTTTTACTGATAAACAAATTTTAGAGGATTTTCTATTGTTTATTTCTATTTTATTCCAAATACAAATTTTAGGGCTTTATTTTTTTGTTTCATCATTCATATTAGTCATCATTAATTATATTTGCTGATTGATATTACATGATACCTATAATATATAAATTACCATGTATTTTTTTTAAATTGTTATATTTTTCAAGAATGGAAAGACAAAGTTACAAAATCATACATCCTATCTCTAATACCTCTTTGATTTCTACCAAAAATATTCTTATTTCTTTTTTATTGCTTACAGTTTAATAGAGAGGCCAAGTGCCTCATCCCATACATACATATAAATGTTGCAAAATTGTTTAGTGTTATTGGTTTTATTACTGCTTGTTGGTTTATACAACATTTAGTTGCCTTTAACTATTCAATATAAGTATAAGTACCTATTATATATATAATTTATTATGCATCATACATTGTTATCAGTGAAATTTACATGAAATACCTATTTGATAGCTAAAGATTATTGTTTAAAAACCTCAAGTAATAGATATTTCTTTTTATCTTGGCAAATATAAAAGGGGCATTAAATATTATAATAATAGGTATCAAGATTTGTGTTCACAAATCATATTTGCCTGATTTTCTACTGTATTGACACATAGTATTTGAAAATACAACAGAAATTCAAATATCATTTGAACATCCCTACACACTAGCCTCAAGATATTACAACTTCACCCTCTTGCTTTCATACTTCTCCAAAAAGTACACATGTTGATAGTCCACAAATTTTAGTCATCATAATAATTTCTTTTATAAGTTGTAATTGTTTGGTGATTTTCATCCGCAATGACAAGATTATCATCCCATCAAAGGGAGATATATGAAATATATATATAAAAAAATAGTAATAATATCCCTGGACAATTTACATAGCACCATCTGGTCCCAAGCTAAGCAGAGCTTGTGCAATGGGCAGTAGACAACTGATACCTATTTTTATTTTTGAGAATACATACATATTATACATACAAAACGCCCAGACCGATACAAACAATCATGTCATACAAAAGTTTGTGGCTTGCAAAGTAGTAAACCCGTGACCATCTGGAATAAGGCTGCGACCACTGCACTATAGAGGCCATCAATATTAATACTTTAAAATATCAGATATGCCAAACTCCAAAGTAACAAAACAGAATTTATGTATGTTGCAGTATTATTTTATATGCATATATAAGTAAATTACAGAAATAGACTTTTTTCTTCTTTGAAAGAGAAATATTTTCTTCAGTGCTTTTCAACAATGTTACAATATACAAAACAAACAAACGAAAAAAAAAGAGATCAAATAAAACATATATAATTAAACTTAATTTACCATGTAAATAATTAAAAATAATTATAAAATAATCTTTTTTTTACATACATAGGCACTGAAATGGCTCCACTCAGCTTTAATGTATGTCCTATATGAATATACAGCTAGTTTTCAGTCACATACAGCTTGAAATACGGAGATATATAAGATTATTGTCAAGACATTGAAATATAAAGAATAATATAAAAAGAAGTATAAATTTAAATACATATTTAGAATATAAAATACATTTCTGATTAGCCAGTACAGTATAAAAAAAAGTATACTTTGTTCAAAGTTGTCTGTGTAGGTACATCTTCCTCACCTATTTAAGCCGCCAAGCAGTTTGCTTTGTGAGATGACTTGAGTCTATTTAAAAGTATAATATAATAATAATAATAATCTCAGGTCTGGACAATTCACACAGCGCCATCTAGACCCAAGTTAAGCTATATAAAGCTTGTGTTATGGGTACAAGACAACTGATACAAATACATAGATATTTTTTTTTGCGAATACATACATATTATACATAGTAAACACCCAGACCGATAGAAACAATCATACTCATGAATACAAATGTTTGTGCCGTGCGAGGAATCGAACTCGCGACCGTGGGGAGTAAAGCGGTGGCTAGACCACCGAGGACCATTGAGCATTCAATTAATTTTACATACATATTACATACATTAGTAAATTATTTATTTAATTGACGGATTATTACGGACGGAAATTATTTATTTGACGGCCTCGGTGGTCTAGCGGTCTAGCACACCGCTTTACGTCCGATGGTCGCGGGTTCGATTCCTCGCACGGCACAAACATTTGTATTGATGAGTATGATTGTTTGTATCGGTCTGGGTATTTTCTATGTATAATATGTATGTATTTACGAAAAAAAAAAATATATCTATGTATTTGTATCAATTGTCTAGTACCCATAACACAAGCTTTAGTTAGCTTAACTTGGGTCTACATGGCGCTGTGTGAATTGTCCTGAGATTATTATTATTATTATTTATTAAATAGAAAAAGACAAACTCCAATTATGTACCAAAACTGACAATAATTTGAATGGAGACCAACACAAAACCTAATACCGGACTGTACGTTGATAAATAACTAATAGATAAGGCTTGTACAAGGCTGATTGGACTTTTACGAAACGATAATATGCGTAACGCGATAATTAAAATATTCGACTCACTTAACTAGTTTAAATCTAGTTTAATTTAATATTTTATCAGCTTATACCTGTTTATGACTATTTTTTCGGACTACTCTAATGTTGTTGGCCGCAGCTGGCCTTTACAGCTTCACCGGACGATATGGGGCGAGTGTAGATGGCACTTCAAACCAAAGGAAGGACTTATGGAGCGGCTGAAGGCCAACTCCCGCCAGACGGATACGATTTTAGTCTGAGGGCACCACTAGGGGTTCCAACCTCGGCTCAGGCCGTCGTAATTTCGATCTCCGTTTGAATTAGACTGGGAACAAAGAGGTGTTAGGAGATTGAGAATTTAACCAATTTCAAAGTTGGAAAGTTCCTTATATCTTATACTAGCTGTTCACGCGGTTTCAGCCGCGTTAATGTTAAACATAAAATATAGCCCATGTGTTATTCTGATGCATAAGTAATGTTACTGTAAAGTTTCATCAAAATCCGTTCAGTAGCTTTTGCCTGAAAAAGTAACAAACATCCATACTTATAAAATTTCGCGTTTATAATAGTACTAGCTACTCGCCCCGACTTCGCACGGGTGTACATGTACTATATATATAAACCTTCCTCTTGAATCACTCTATCTATTAAAAAAACGCTTCAAAATCCATTGCGTAGTTTTGAAAATTTAAGCACACTGTTAGAAACTATTTTTATACCTTTTTTATTATCATGTTTTTTTATAATATTATATTGTTTTTATATGACATAAGTCAATTTAATACAAACAATATTCTTCAACTACAACGGTGCCGTTTTACTTTTGCTCGTCGTCTCGGTCTCCATCCTTCACACATACAAAGGGACGGACAGACAGCGACAGCGACTTTGTTTTATACTATGTAATGATTAAGATACAGCGTGATATATCCAATATTTACTACACATAGGGGAGGGATAGTAGTAATGGAAACTAGCGACTGATTACTAGCAATATTTTTACAATTATGCTTGATTTGGAGATTTTTTTTATATTAGACTGGCAAATAAGCTTACGTCCCACCTGATGGTAAGTGAACCGTCGTCTTATACATGAACAGCACTACGGACATCACGCTCCAAACCATCTATGACTTCATGTTGTCCTGGTACTTTCACTGTAGTATCGCAGTATCACAGCTCACTCCTTACAACCAGATTGGTAATAATAATTAAGCTTACGTCCCACCTGATGGTAAGTGAACCGTCGTCTTATACATGAACAGCTACGGCCATCACGTTATCATGTGACACTCGTGATACCACTTCAGACTAAGATGTCTACCTGTAATTTCACTACCAATAGTGGCAATGCTTGATTGCTATTGATACGGATGACGACGGTGGTCTAGCGGTTTAGCACACCGCTTTACGTCCGATGGTCGCGGGTTCGATTCCTCGCACGGAACAATTTGTATTCATGAGTACGATTGTTTGTATCGGTCTGGGAGATTATTATTATT